TCAGGGCATGGTTTGTCAACCTCTGCTTTCAATTCATACCTGTGTCTTTTCTTGTCAATTAAAAAGCCAGATTCTTAAGGACAGGGTTGTGCGGCTATAGAGTCCTGTCTCCCTGCTGAGCCCAGGTTATTTCAGACCATCCATTATCTCTTGTCAGGATTAACAGAGAAGCATCCTCTTTGGACAGAGGGAAATCCCAGGAGTACGTTCATAACCGGCCACTACTAGACTGGTCATTTAAGGTAAGTCACACCTTTTTGTCCCTAGCTTCATAATCTCTAAAATAAGGAGGTGGAAAGCCTTCGGTGACTAAACCACCTTTTAAATGTCAAACCCTATAAGTTAAAGTTTTGCACATTTTAACTAATTTACTCCAGTGTTACTCAGGGACCCTCCATGCAAAACAAACCTCCAAATTAAGCAATGTTTTCCAAAGAAATCAAAACAACACTGGCAGGAAAACAAGAGCATGAACTATGTGTGGCAACAGCCTTCTAAAACCACTTAAATCAGGGACTTGTGGGAAAAAGCCAGTTGGGAATATCCTAGGTGAAGAGTAGAGAAAAAAATATTCTGCACACTTGGCACTATATTCTTTAGGTAAAAGTTCCCTGAGATCTTAACCAGATAAAACAATTAATCAAAGATAAACTCATTTGGAAATTTATGAATAATCGACGACATGGTAAAATTTTATTAAAAATTATTCATCAAGAACAAAAAAAATGTGTAAAGCACTTTCTGGGAAGAGAGATTTTGCTATACAAATTGTACGCATAAATAATACCACAGAGTCAACATTTAACCTGCAGAAGAAAGTATGTTTTAAAAAGCACTTGTGTACAATGGCTGTGATAGCAGCTACTGACTATGAAGGAATATGACTTTTATTAGAGGAGGCCCAATGCAGTATCCAACTTATAACAGTTGTTCATTAAAGGTAATTCCAATTTTTGTTCTTAAAAGCAAAAATAGCAATCTATTGTTGTCATTAATTTAATATGTTTTTTTAAAAAATTGATTTTAGAGAGAGGGAGGGAGAGGGAGAGACAGAAACATCAATAATGAGAGTCACTGATCAGCTGCCTCCTGCACGCCCCCCACTGGGGATCGAGCCCGCAACCTGGGCATGTGCCCTGACAGGGAATCAACCTGTGATTTCCAGGTTCATGGGTCGACGCTCAACCACTGAGCCTCGACCGGGCATGTTGTCACTAATCTGAATTAATGAGTTGATTAACTAGAGCAGTGTTTCACAAAGTGTGTTCCATGTGACTGCATTTCCATGAAGAACAGCGTTGCTGCCAAGTCTGGAAATGTGTTCTTGGAGGGTCCCAGCACTCACCGGCATAGGAAAACCTACAAAAGGTCTCAGTTTCCCAACTGACCCTACAGCCTTTTCTTTTCCTCAAGGGAAGTCTATGAGCATCTTACTTCATTAGTGCTCCATTGGACACTAACATGAAAAGCACTAGAGAGAGTCCCACTTATGGGGTCTGATATACCACCCACCCGTTTTCCTTCCTCAAGGGAATCGGGTGGGAATAGCACACTGCAGTGCCTGCTGGCAACATACACAAGGATCTGTGTGCTCAGGAGATAGACTTATATCTGCCACAGGAGGAGAGAAGAGTCCCTATTTCGAGTCCCCTACGTTCAGAAATTATGTTGCTCGCTTTTGATTTCTCTATAAAAAATAGGGAGGAAGCTCTTTTCAGGGTCCCAACAAGTAGAAAGAGAGCTGTAGCTGGACAGAAGCATGGGCCTCTGAAATAGGCTCCTGAAATCCCTCCCACCCCATCCTTGGAAAGGCAGCCTGGCAGGTCCACAGAGATGAGATGAGAGGTGGCACTGCGGTAGTCTGCCCCAGTCACTGGGGATAAAATGCCAGCGCTAAGGCCTAGAGCCATTCACACCCAGGATGAGGGCGGGAGCAGGTCAACCGGGGCGCTCCCCAGTGCTGCCTTTGATTGGTAATACAAGGCTCACGAAACCCCTTTCCCCACTGTCCATATCTGGGAGCTTCACATGTACCTCGCTGTGATCAAAAGGAACCAAAGCACAGAATGGCCCAGAGAGCGGAGGCAGCCCTCCCTCTGCTCAGCAATGATGCCAACGTGCTCCAAGAAATGCCAAAGGACTCAGGAACAAGACAAAAACCTCAGCCCCCTGGAGCAACAACCAACACCCCACACAGAACCAACATCTGATATGACTGCAACTCCTTTATAATAAGAAGTTTCTCAAATCAACCTTGGGGATCAGTAGGGAGGGTAGGGGGGTCACAGCCAGTTCATCTCCTTGCCCAAAGTACATTTCTTCAGAGCAAATCAAAAACACTTGAAAGCCTTAAGAAAATGCTAAACCCAAAATAACTTGATAAATTCTGAGATCATGTGGTTTAGTGAAGCACTCTGAACTTCCAGAAAGATTCTGTGCCCTTCAAGCCTGGTACACACACGTTTCTTCTCCATTTTAACCACATCAAGAAACCCCCTAAGAGATTCCATTTCCTTGGCAAGGAAAGTTACAAAAGAGAATGAGAAATAGGCTCGTTTTCACAAGCAAAATGAAACACTTTTATGTTTTATTCACGCAAAGCGCAAACCCCTTCCCTTTGCGGCATTACAAATTGAATTTGCTCTTGTAAATTGCTGTTAAAGAAAAAAAAAAAAGACAAATCAAAAGCAAAAGTAAGTATAAAAAAAAAAAAGGCAGGAATACAAAGGCCCCTTCTAGGGAATGAAAACTCAGGGGACCCATGGGGAGAAATAGAACCTTTCACTGGCAAACACAGTTTTTTATTTACTACAATCCAGCTCGAGGGCCCCCAGGCAGCACATGAGCTTGCTGAGGTCCTCAGTGAGAGCTCTTGGGGAACTGAGTGAATCTCTAAATTACACTTATCTGCTAACATTGAGCGAGAAATAAGAAGCTGTTTAAAAAACATGGGTAACCCAGCCCACCTCTCAAAAACACAAGCAGGGCAATGTAACCTAATTTACATGGGCATCACTGGGGGTCGGAGGGTTGGGGCTCCTCCTGATTGTAGGACAATAGAACTGAGAGTGTCTAGAGCAGCCTCTCAACCTCTGCATCAAACAATAAGCATGAAAACTCCCTGAGGTCTGGCCCCTCCCTGTTTTTGAAAGGAAGCCATGTAATTAGCTGTATCGACAGTGCCTATTGCTTTAACAAATCAAGAGCTAACATTCATTAAACATTTGCCATGTCCCCATTACTGTGCCAATTACCGTACATACACTCAGGCACACATACACATGCACTGTGGTCCTTACTATGATGTGTGTTTCACAGACGACAGAAACCGAGGCGCAGAGCTTGAATAATTTAGTCAACAGGAGTTTGAATAATTTTTTTCTCCCTGAACATGTAGCATCTGGCCTCACTGTAAAGCCTTGGGGGTGGGCTGAAAGCTAATCAGTGAAATCCGATCACAGTGTAACCTTTAGAAAACACAACCCCACATACTTGCACATGTATATAGTGATCTTCACCTTGGCTCCTGCCTTAAAAAACAAACTAGGACAGGAACCGGGGAAGGATCAAGCATTTTACACCTTTCCATTGAGGCTAAACATTTTTAACGACGCGCAAACATTATCAGGTATTTTCCTTGTAAAGTTAATCAATTCATGTCAACACATCGACTTCAGTGCTACTACAGCTCTGCCAAGCTAGTGAATGACAGGTGTGTACGCTTAATCTATCCACTCACCCGGCCCCCCCAAAGCACCTGGCCCAGCTGTCACCGTTCATCACTCTGTTACAAAAGCTCAAAGACACAACTGTGCTCCCAGGAAGGATTATCCAACCAGCAGGCAGAGGTTGTGCGAACCATTTCTCGAGTCTGGTTCTAGCAAAAGTGCTTGTTCTTTGACAGAGGGATGCTTAACCAGTTTCCTTTCTGACTTAGAATTTACAACTGAATCAGAAGACTAGCATCCTATAGCTCATCCCTAAAAGTTAGGAGATCCTCAGGTACATTGAAAGTTGCCAAAGATTAACCATACAGTTGATCCCTGAACAATGTGGGGGTTAGGGGCACCAACCACCCCAGCAGTCGAAAATCCACATAACTTAAGTCGGCCTCACATACTCAAATTTCCAACTGCAGATCGAGAATATGGTTGACCCTGAACAATGCAGGTTTGACCTACCTGGGTCCAGTATGTGAACCCAAGCAATTCAAACCTGAGTTGTTCAAAGGTCAACTGTAATTCAAGAGTTAAGTGCATTTAATGTAGCCCAATTACTTAATAGTGGCATCCGAGATGACGTCTGTGATAACTGCCACTTTTTAGTTAGAATGTGTACTTGGACATCAGAACTTCCTTGCTTCCAGTCATCCTGGAGAACAGAAATTCACAGCACCCCTAAGAAAGAAGCACTTCTATCAATAACACATTTTTGGCAGAATTTCAGAAACATACGCATCGAGTGGAATTTTGATGTGACCACATGTTTCAAGTGTGAAAGGCGCTCAGCAACCCCAGGCCCCAGCTTCTGGTGATTGTGACTCAGTGATCTGAAGCTCGTGACTCGGGCTGCATAACCGCTCCCTCCACAAGCCCCCTGCGGAGAAAATACCAGTGGGAGGGAGTGGGAAATGGCCAAGATGCAACCCGATGAAATGGAGGGTAAAACAGGCTGCAGAGAAGGGAGGAAAAGTGAGGGTTCAGGGAGCATGGGTGAGTCAGGACCTTGGATGAATGAGCGTGGGCAGGAGAGAGACGCAGAAATCGAAGGCAGGGTCCAGAACTGACAAAAGGTTTGAGGTGCAGAAACCAGGGGGGAAGTAGCGTGGGGGGTCTAGGTGGGGAAACAGAGATATGCTGTAATTTCTTACATTTCTAAAGAAAGTCTACTGTCATTGCATGTTCAGTGAGGTGCAGGAACAGTGAGACCTCACTTCGGTGTGGAGCTAAAACCCGGGCACCTGGTGAGGTGACAGTGACTGCGGCTCCCAGGGCACTCACCGGCCATTGTCGCGGCCCACGCCCCACACGCGGATGCTCACGATGGGCTGGGAGTGGAGCACGGTGCGGTCCATGGGGTCCACCAGGCTGAGCGTGTCGTTCTCCAGAATCAGGTACATGTCCTTCCCCTGGAGTCAATGAGAAAGCGTTACCCTCTCATGAAGCGCACACACATCCTTGCAAAACCTGTGACTATCTAGGGATGTTGTTTCAGGTCAAAAGAAGCCACCCTTTGGGGGCCATAATTTGTTTTCCCAAGGGAAAAACATCCTCTCCTGACTAAAGTATTCATAAATCTTTCAGATTTCCCTCCCAAGTCCTCTGAAAAGTGTCTCTAGCCTTCTTTCTAGCCAGCTCTTATTTTTAACTGTTTACACTTCTGAATCTTTAAGAAAAAGGCTAATGGTGGGTTCCCTGGAGAATCTGGTCTTTCCCTAACTCCATGCCCAGCATCCTCTCATAAGCACACTCCCTCTTCCTTCCCCTCTGGCCAGACGGCAGCAGGCACCCCCAACGGCCTTCTCAGACCAACAATGATGTCCATCTCTTCTCAACTCTCACACCACTTCATGTTTGTGTGATTTGGCTGGCGAGGAGCAGAAGCAGCTTTGTGACACTTCTCAGTACCACCGCAGCTAACATTTATGTGACTTTATCACATCTCAGATATCATGTCACATGCCTTAGGTACCTTGGCTCATGGACTCTCTAACTTGTTCCGAGAGCTTGGTTTGTTATTATTTCCAATTAGCAGATGGGCAAACCAAGGCCTAAGGGTTGAGTAACTTGCCCAAGGTCTGACACAGAGCTACACGGGTGTTGTGTTAATACCACCATAAGGGGAGGCCAAGCAAAGTTTTTCCTCTCCTACATCACTATTCAAGTTTTCAAGTTTTGGTCTCCTGTCTCTCCACAGATGTTGGCTCTTTGAGGGTGGGAACATTAGACCATTCAGCTTTATTCCCCTTGAAATTCCTGAAGCATAATTGAAAGAAGCTATTCAAAACTTCACTGTACAACTGAAAGACTGTGTCTGCTGAAGGTCACGGTCAACCCTGATGCTGTGACACTGAAGCTAGGGAGGTGCTACTGGGAAAAACAGTGAGGCTTCCTGGTGGGTCTTCAAGTCCCAGAGCAGGAGAGATGAATTACTCTGTGGTCTGGTTTTGAGAATGATATTTTAGGTTCCCATGCAAGGTCCTCAGAGTGCATACAAGCTCCACTGCTTAGGTGGCAGGCATGGGTTTTCAGTGCCTCTGCCAGCCAGTGTTTAAGCTGAGAGTCTACGCCTGAGATCCAGGATGATCTGAAATCTTCCCAAAGGGCAGGGAAGCCAATTCCAGAAGAGAGCCCTGGCAGGAATCACAGCCTGTGCGGACAGCAGAGCCTGGAGCGACAGGCTGCCCACGACCTCAGCTCCACGGCACCCCCAAATGTTTCTCTGGGAATTGCAGCTCATTCAGCTGTGTCCAGATGTTGGGCAAAGAGCCAGTCCTTAATTAGCTAGTTTGCAGATTAACCACCAGAGTTGCCCAGCACCTCAGGATGCTGAGTAACTGGCCAGTAGCTGAGCCAAGGAGAGGAGCCAAGCTGCCGACCCCACACCGTCCTTCAGCTAAAGGCTGGGCTCCTTTCCTGCAGACCTCAGTTCAGGGCTGCTAGAGCGGCGCTTGGGTGCTGCACGACTGCCAAGAGCTGGGAACGGGAGAGCAGAGCAGGTCCCAGGCCCCCTGGGGCCACCAGGTGTCGTGCTTTGGGACAGCAGAGCTGCCAGGGATTTCTGGTCCCTTCCCACCAGGTACTAAGCAGCGACTGTGGCCTAAAGGGGATCTAAGGAGATCTTCAGCCAGGCCCAGTAGTGAATGGCTCCCAGCGCAACTCCCGCTGGGCAGCAATCCCCGTTCTGTGCAGCTGCTTCATGGCAAACACTTTGCAGGGACTATAGACACTACAGGGCTTGCTGTGGCTGACATCGCCACCTGACATGCTAAACACGCTTTTCAGGATGTGACCCACAGTGAGTTGAAGTCCCCCCTCACTGAGCTGGGCGATGCACTTCCTTTGAGCTGGTTTGGCTTAAACACCACAACTGGGTCCCCCAAAGGCAACAGAGGCCCTGTTCACTGGGGAGGGACCAAGTGGGGTAGACTCGTGTAGCAACACTACTCCAAGACACTCCTGATGTGTTTGTTCGACAAGTCTCAGAGCACGGTAGGAATTGGCTTTTCCTATTTCATATGATTGTTATAGATACTTTATATTTATTCTTATTTTCCTTTCTAAATTAGCTCAACTAATACCTGAAAGTGGAATTACTTTGTTCAAAGTGAGAAAGAATATATAGATATCAATTACAAAACTCATGTATAATGTTGATTTTCAGATGTAAATAAAGAATGTGTTATAAAGGGATAATTTTTCAACCTTTAGAGCGGCCGCATCAACATTTTTGTGTGTATGTGGGTGGAGGCCACATTCCCCTTTGAGGACATACTTTGAGAGGGCCATGGGTCTTACTGCTCTTATATCCTGGCATGCCCAACTTTGCCCGCAAATTTAAGGGGCTTTCTGGGCCCTGAAGTCCATAACAGATTCCTGGGGACTCAGGGATCTCAGGTAGATCCGTCACAGACGGTGACAAGGTTCTCCTGGAGGGTCCCCGTCCTCACTGGGATGTGACAGCACTAACGGGTAGATAACAGGGTGCATCCTGCCTACACTATGGGTCTTCTCTGTACCATGTCCCAGAGCTCTGGGCTTCCACGAAGCACAGCGGAATGGCACCAAGCCTGCCACTCACTGTTTCCACGAGTTACTTACCTCTCCCCAAATGCCGACTGTGTCCCGGATGTCATTTTTGCAGTAAGAAAGCTGTCGGATGCAATTGTTGACAGCAACACTGCTCTTCCCAGGGGCGAGGTCCTCCTCTGCCATTTCTACCCATCCCAGAGAGCGCACAGCAAAACACTGGAAGACAGAGTCAGGAACATGAAATTCCTCACTGGTCACAGGTCACTTTGGGTCAATCTACCCTAAAAGCCTTTGCGAGGCATGCCTAGTGAGTCTCCAACTGCTACATCAGGTTCAGTCATTTCATCCCTACTATTGGAAAAGTAACTGTGACTCTTTGCTATTAGAAAATGTAGTGATAAATATCTCCTTACCTACCTTTCTGTGTGTGTGCTCAGATAGTTTTCTTAGAAGAGATAACTAGAACTGGAATTTTAGGGCTAATGGATATAAAAATTTCTAAGCACCTTTATCTATTAGAAGGCAGGTTTTTTTAATAGTAAGAAATACAACCCCTATGAGCTCTCTTAGTTGTTAGCACCTAGGAAAAACAATAGGAGAGAGACTGAATCAAATCCAGGTTAGGCGCTTTCATGACAACGAGGCAAAATGTATCCTCTAATACCCAGAAAATGAAGGAAACAGGGGGAAAATGTGTTCCCATGATAGCAGGTCTCAGCTCCTACAGCACGCTCTTAGCACCAAATCCTGGGGAGCCTGCAGAATGGATGGACTTGGGAGACACCTTAAAGCACAAGCTCCGTTTATTCCTTTATCACTTAGAGATATTTTGAGATGACACTCCTTGTTTTTTAAAAGTTCGGTTATCAATTAAAAAAATATGAGAAGCATCATATGCATATTGCAATAAGTAAAAAAAATCCAAAGATGAAGAAAGGAAGAAACAACTGGAACATGTGAGGGCAGCTTCCGCTTTGCTGACAATCGCCAGGGTTCCTGGGTGGCTGGAACTGGGGCCCCCCACCTGACCCTCCAACCCAGGTTCCTCATCCCACTCTGAGGGCTGGGGTCCCTCCCAAGCTGCACATCAGCGGAAGAGACCACCTTCCCGGGATAAGAGGGGCATCTTGTAAAGTTTCCCAAAGTGAACGTCATAATAAAATGAAGAAATGTTGCAAACAGTCCCAAAGTGACCACTTCAGTCTCGTTCAACCTTCCCCGTCTCAGCCTCCAGGCCCAGGCTCCTTCCTGAGTCGTTAATCACAGTTTCTCCGGGGACACACACACACACACACACACACACAGCAAAATACCGAAGACAATCTATTTAGGCATAGTGCAGGACGATCCCCACATCCTATGGGGACAAGTACTGAGGTGCCTGTGTGACCACCTGGAGCAGAACCGCTGCCACATGCTGAGGTGCATATGGGCCGTTTACAAATACACCAGAAAGAGGAGGTTGTCCCCGCGATGCTGACTGAAAAGGCTCCTCAGGGCTGTGTCCCAGGCAAGGTCTGGGGGCTGCGTCCACCACAGCGCCCCTGCCCGAAGGGTAAGGGGATGCGCACAGGCCCAGGCGCCTGCGGCCACGCGAGGGCTGCCCCCGCTCAGCCGCTGGGAGGTTTCCTAGCTGGTCAGCCTGCCCGTGCGGCTCTGCTTCCTGAGCCCCAGACCAAACCATTTCTCCAGCTGGATGTCCCCATATGTCCCAGGAGCAGGGCACAGCACCTCTTGCTTGTTTTAGGAAGACCAGGCCTTCGCTGGTCTGCGCCCGGAGTGCTCATTCCTGCGTCCTGCAGGGGGCGCTGTGCAGGTCACTAACCTCCCTCCTTTGCTGGTTCCCAACACAGTCCCTAGTCAGTAGCATCATATTGCAACAACCCACCTGCGCCTGCCAATTCGATCTCGGTACCTACCAGCTCCGTGTTCTCCTCCCACCTCAGAAAAGAAATAGAAACGCTCTAGATTGGGAGAACATTTATGTTATCCCAGCTTACTTAATAGCAGAAAATTAGCACCGCAGAGTTGTATCATCTGACCCTGCGAACAAGGCATTCTTCAAATGTTAAAAATATGGATTCATTTCATCCTTCCCTCAGCCCTCTGAGGTCGATACTAAGTTAACTACCCATTTCACAGATGAGGAGAGTGAGTGAAGGCCAGAGCTATCAAGTGGTGGACCGAGGATTCAAACCAGGCAGTCTGACTTTGGGGATCCCAGTCCTAACCACTCTGCTTTATGCCTGAGCTTTGACTGAAGGAACAGTGTCAGCTGGGGCTAGGCCCATAAAGAAGGCTCGATGCCAATACAGTTTTGAGTGCACGGCTCTAGAGCAGGGATCGCCTGGATTCAAATCTTAGCTCTTAGACTTATTGGTACTGTGATAGTGGGCAGGTAATTTACAAAGTCCCAATTTGTTTCATTTGTAAAAATAGGAATAACAATTATTACTTCAGAGGGTTGTCAGAGAAAACAATGCAATACAGCAAGAGAACCCAGCAGGTAGGAAACACTCAATGAACGTGCACTGAGTGAAAGAGCACATGAATACAGTGCCATGGAAATCTTCACTGGAGTCATCAAAAGGGGAAATGACAGGAGCAGAACATTTGTAATTAGGGTGACCACACATTTCAATTGTCCCAGGATGGCTCTGGTTTAGTTTGTTGTGGTGGCAAAATTATTAAAAACAGCTTTTATTTTCAAAAGTGCCCCAATTTGAATAATAAATTATTATAGTCACTCTAGTCAAAATTCCAGTTATTCTGCCTCTGATATGGAAATAGGCTTGGGCGGGATATTGAGATATGACCAGGTGGAAATGGGGTTCAAAACTAAGAGAAATTGCTATGAGTAGAGCATCTTGGTGATGTTGGCTGGGGGGTTTGAACCCTAAGAAACCAGTATTCTTATGGGATGTCCTTAAAACTAGAAGCCAGGAACATATTTTTTCACTTTCTCTAACTGCCCACTACAAAATCCTACAGCCTATGAATACTCAAAAGAATTTATTAACAATTAAGAAGGTTAGAAAAACACAACTTGCTGCTTTTTGTCCCTTGAGTCCAAGAACTCACCGATTTTGAATTAAACTAGCTCACTCAAAAATCAAGGGTAGTTTTTTTGACTAAGAAATGCAAATAGCTAACTAATCCTAACAAAGCACTGAGTATATTGTTTTGTCATGCTGATAAAAGAGAAAACAAGAACCCTAAATATATTACTATAATGATTTTAAGTAATTTTCCTTGTGCAATCCTGCTATTGCAATTTAGCTTCTGACTTGAAAAGCTTCACCACCGGAGTAAAAGAAACTGGGTGTACAGGACATAACCCAGCTCCACCAGGGAGTGAGCTGGCTTCCTACCAAAGGAAGGGGCAGCAAAGAGGAACCTGTGCTGTTAGGTGCTGCCCCCGTGTGGCCAGGAAGGTTTATAACCGCCACCACTTTTCCTTCAAAGGGGGAATTAATGCTTTCCGTACCAATCAGCTCTGGGAATAACCCCCGTTTCAGAGTATGGGAAGAGTTCAACATATTTAACAAACCTGTCTTTAAAAATGGTTTTTCAGCCCTAGCTGGTTTGGCTCACTGGTTAGAGCGTCGGCCTGCGGGCTGAAGGGTCCCAGGTTCCATTCCAGCCAAGGGCACATTCCTCAGTTGCAGGCTTGATCCCCAGCCCTGGTCGGGGCTCATGCATGAAGCAACCAATCGATGTGTCCCTCTCACATCGATGTTTCTCTCCCCCCCCC